GTCAGTATGAGTACACAATGCATGTGCACACAAGTATCATTACATAATGTGAATCAGTGTGAGTATACAGTATGAGTCAGTGTGAGTACATAATGTGAGTCAGTGTGAGTACACAATGGATAAGTACACAATGTGGGTCAGTGTCAGTACAGAATGTGAGTCAGGATGAGTACACAATGTATAAGCACACAATGTGAGTCAGTGTGAGTGCACAATGTGTTTCTGTGTGAGTACAGAATGTGAGTCAGTATTAGTACACAATGTGTTTCTGTGTGAGTATAGAATGTGAGTCAGTGTGGGCACACAATGTATCAGTATACAATATGAGTCACTATGAGTAAACAATGTATAAGTACACAACGTGTTTCTGTTTGAGTACAGAATGTGAGTCAGTGTGAGCACACAATGTATCAGAACACAATGTGAGTCAGTATGAGTACACAATGTATAAGTATTCAATGTGTTTCTGTGTGAGTACAGAATGTGAGTCAGTGTGAGCACACAATGTATCAGTACACAATGTGAGTCAGTATGAGTACACAATGTATAAGTACACAATGTGAGTCTGTATGAGTACACAATGTATAAGCACACAATGTGAGTCAGTATGAGCACACAATGTGAGTCAGTGTGAGTACAGAATGTATGAGTACACAATGCATGTCAGTATGAGTACACAATGCATGTTAGTATCATTACATAATGTGAATCAGTGTGAGTATACAGTATGAGTCAGTGTGAGTACATAATGTGAGTCAGTGTGAGTACACAATGGATAAGTACACAATGTGGGTCAGTGTCAGTACAGAATGTGAGTCAGGATGAGTACACAATGTATAAGCACACAATGTGAGTCAGTGTGAGTGCACAATGTGTTTCTGTGTGAGTACAGAATGTGAGTCAGTATTAGTACACAATGTGTTTCTGTGTGAGTACAGAATGTGAGTCAGTGTGGGCACACAATGTATCAGTATACAATATGAGTCACTATGAGTAAACAATGTATAAGTACACAACGTGTTTCTGTTTGAGTACAGAATGTGAGTCGGTGTGAGTACATAAGGTATGAGTACACCATGTGAGTCAGTGTGAGTACACAATGTATAAGTACACAATGCATGTCAGTGTGAGTACGCAATGTATGAGGACAGAATGTGAGTCAGTGTGAGTACACAATGTATAAGTACAAAATGTGAGTCAGTATGAGTACATGATGTAAGTCAGTATGTGTGCACAATCTACAAATACACAATGTGAGTCAGTGTGTGTACACAATGTATAAGTACACATTGTGAGTCATTGTGAGTACACAATGTATAAGTACTCAATGTGTTTCTGTGTGTGTACAGAATGTGAGTCAGTGTGAGCACACAATGTATCAGTACACAATGTGAGTCAGTATGAGTACACAATGTATAAGTACACAATGTGTTTCTGTGTGAGTACAGAATGTGAGTCAGTGTGGGCACACAATGTGTTTTTGTGTGTGTACAGAATGTGAGTCAGTGTGAGCACACAATGTATCAGTTCACAATGTGAGTCAGTATGAGTACACAATGTATAAGTACACAATGTGTTTCTGTGTGTGTACAGAATGTGAGTCAGTGTGAGCACACAATGTATCAGTACACAATGTGAGTCAGTATGAGTACACAATGTATAAGCACACAATGTGAGTCAGTATGAGCACACAATGTGAGTCAGTGTGAGTACACAATGTATAAGTACACAATGTGAGTCAGTATGAGTACAAAAGAAGGAAACAACTCGCAGCTACGAAGACGAGGCCTGCGCCTTTGATGTAATAAATGGCGCTCAGCTTTTGAACATTCTGGGGTTGACCTCTCAAGGTACGACGATTTCTTCCAAGAGCATCCCATACGTGTTCGATGGGACTGAGGTCAGATGATCTCGATGGCCACTCCATTTTGCAGCAAATTTAGCTATCTGCGGGTGCAATTGTACCCAGCGCAGGCGTTTATTAGCCTACGGTTTAACAGGCTCAGAATCGTAAGGACGGACACGAGGTTAGGCAGCGTGCAAATCGGTTTCGCATAGTCTGGGCAGCAACGTGACCCTATACAACGCGTTACACGTATCCTCAGGTTGTGAGTTGTCCGTCTACTGATTCTTATGACACGTGCAACAGCCACGGTAGACTGGCCAGCCTGGAGCATGCCAACTGCACGTTCACGTTCAACAGCCACGGTAGACTGGCCAGCCTCGAGCATGCCAACTGCACGTTCACGTTCAACAGCCAAATTTCGCACATATGTTGGTGGTAAGGCACACGGAATTGTGGTCACGTGACTCCGCACACGGGCAAGAATGCGTTTTCGCTAAAGAGCCTGCTGCATGAATTAACGTTAGACCTAGCCATTATGGTTTTCGCCAATATTAACTACCTTGTGCCACTCATTTTCAATTATAATCTCCAAGTATGAAGTTTCTTTGTTTGTCGGGTATAGGTCCCGTACTCTCATGCTCTGTCTACATGTCATGGACCTTGCACAACACTGCGTTATATCTGTGATTATAGAAATGGCTACTATAGATATTTAAAGACAGCGCCCCAGGTGACTGACGGAAACAGAAGCCTCTTTAACGACTACGTCGACGCTGATGGCTCATTGTCCGACAACCTGCTTGTGTGTGACACCCCCATGTCCGGTGTGTGTTCTGTCACGTGATCACTTCTACCATTTCTACCATTTTCAAGTAGAAAAAGTAAACATTAGTAAAGCTGACGTCAGATTTCACGGTGCTGCCAACCGATGGCATTACAAGTGCCGCCCTCCGGTATGTACAGGCATTACGGCTGGTATGTACAAAAGTTAAGTGAAAATACATTTATTTTGAAGTTTGAAATGTATCTTTAAAAACATATTCATGGAGACATCCCCTCGGCTTATAAGTCATGATAAACAATTTCCACGTGCATGTCAATCCACGGCGCATTTGGATGTTTTCGTGTTTGATAGGATACTCACTCACCTCCTTCTTGAACTACACAGAAAAAGTATATAATACAGCATGGGGGAGTAGTGAGGGGAGCATTCATTGTAATTAAGAAATACAAAGCAGCAGAGAAGCGTTGGTGAAGTGCAATCAATGTTTGATCTCTTTTAAAACTATACTGATGGGCAAAAGAAACTTTCTCTTGCAAAACTTTTCATAATATTAACATAAGAAAATATAATCAAATGCAAATTGCCCCATAGTTATTGCCAACAACAAGGGTTCGATTCTGACCAACATCAGCGCTCAAAACGCACCTCTTAACAACTTTGCATCGTAAACTGCAAAATGCACGTGTTTTGCAAGTAAGGGTAAATTGCACGTGCATGCAAGGTATAAAACCACCTCACAGCACAGAGCAGATCGTACTTCAGCAGAAAACTACTTTACAATGCCGAGGTTAACTTCAGCAGAACGAGAGAGGGCCGTCGGAATGCTGCAAATGGGCGCTACAAAGGGTCACGTTGCAAGAACCTTCAATTGCTCCGTCGTGACCGTCAGGAACCTTCGTCGGCGTTACCAACAGACTGGTCAGACCTCAGACAGGCCCCAGACAGGCAGACCCCGGTTGACAACTGCGCAGGAAGACCGCCACCTGAGGACTTACACCTTAGAAACCGCTTCCTGACAGTAACGTCATCAGCGTCAACAGCACTCGGTCACCCAGTGAGTCGAAGGATAGTGTCAAGGAGACTACAGGCCTATGGTATCAGGGCCTACCGACCGTACCGAGGAACGCTGCTGACAGACAGACATGGTCGCTCGAGTTGTCCAGAACTTCTTTCACGCAAACAACGTCAACGTCCTGCCATGGCCTGCACGCTCTCCTGACATGTCGCCAATCGAGCACGTATGGGGCCACCTTGATAGAGTTATTCAACGGAGACAGAATCCACCAGTTACAGTACAGCACATGACTCAAGCCCTTGTCGAAGAATGGAGGTGAATCCCAGCTGACATCATCAGACGCCTCACAACTTCAGACAGAAGACGTGTGTTTGCATGTATTCTATCAAGAGGTGGACAAACTCGCTATTAAGACTTCTGTTCACGCTTTGCTGTGTTTCCCGAATGGACCCACTGATCGTGAATTCTCTAGTTTGACCCCATGTCGACCACGATATTGTCCAATAAGTTATCAGCCTGGTTAAAAATCGAACGTTTGTACTTAGCACGTGCCTATGTCATTGCTTCACAAATTATAAATTGCAAACTTCGATTTCTTGTTGCTGTTTTTAAGTGAGATTAAATTCAGTGCGAGTAGTAAGTAGGGTGAGTGAGTGAGTGAGTGAGAGAGTTTAGTTTTACACCGCACTCAGCAATATTCCAGCTGTATGGCGGCGGTCTGTAAATAATCGAGTCTGGACCAGACAATCCAGTGACCAAAAGTATGAGCATCGATCTACGCAATTGAGATACGATAACATGAGTCAACCAAGTCAGCGAGCCTGACCCCGATCCCGTTAGTCGCCTCTAATGTGGGGATGTAACGTCACGTTGCAGTTGGACAATGTCCGCCCACATAGTGAACGTGCTGTAACCAGGCAACCCAACTACGTCACCCACGGCCAATACAAAACATGTTTCTCCATGGACCTACGCCTCCAATACAGAACATGACTAACACTAGATAAGATGGACCTAGACTGTTTTACCGTAGGCCCAGATTTTTCAGCAATCAATCGTAAGTTGGTTGACATTTGGAATAGCACTGCTCAGGCTGTTTTTAATTATCTGACCTGGTGTCTTCGCCTGTTTGAACGCAATTAGTAGTCACACACGCTATTGAGAGGGTATTGTGGCATGCCGCTGCTTCTCCCGTCAACAGGTATGGGACTTGTTTATGATATGAGAAAACATTGACGAAGGACAAATATCATGTTGCTAGTTTAATGAGATGTCACAAACCTAGTTTATATAAGGCCCACTTACTTTAGTCATCTAATGTAGCTTATTTGATTCAAAACACTGTACACCTTCACTGATCATTTGCAGGTTTATTTCTGAATTCAGGAAGACATTAGGGCTGGCCGGACTCAGGAATCAGTGTGTCACCTAGCCGTGATATCTGTAGTATCCACAGACATAGGACCTGGAGTAATAGCCTTTGTAGTATGAATACACTCTGTAGTAGGGTTTGATGCTTTCCCCTCGCGAGCTGCCTCCACAGTAGTATCTGGACCAGCGGGCCACTTTACTGGCACAGCGAGAGGCACACGCCGACACGCAGCCCGAGCAGGAGGTACACCGGTAGATCGTCCCAAAATTCTTCACGACCATCTTACCGCAGAGGGCGCTGCAGTTACAGCTGTGGACAAAGCCAGAGTGAGTTAGTGAATGACTTTAGTTGTATGCCGCTTTTAGCAATATTCCAGCAATATCACGCTGGGGACACCAGACTGAACGCTTTAACCACTAGGCTACCCCACTGCCCCTACAAAGCAAGATATTGACTGTCAACATCAACTCGCCAAATACGGTGACGTATCTGTATAGTACGTACGTACGTGTTGTTTGGGTGTTGGTTCGGATTCAGTCAGTGTTTCAAGATATTCTCATTTATCTTCTGATATGCTAAAACCGTTCATGGGAATCTGTTTTAAACAATTTACTAGCAACGATGACTTTTAATCTTCCCTCAATTCATATTCGCGACACCTTGGTGTCCTCATCACGACATAAACGTATGTACGAGCCGTAGCCAATCTGCCATGCATCCCTGCGAGATCACTATGATATATAGAAAATACTCCATGCCTTAAGGGCGCAAGAATGGACATTGCTGCTTTCGAGTGGGAAGATACTAGTTGTGGGTAACGTGCGTTTAAACATGGAATAATGAACTACAGGCGATTCAGTTTGCTGGTGTAGTTTTACGTCCGTGTGCAATTGGCGTACAATTACCTGTGGTCTCTGACTATAGCGTTAACATGGCGAAAATGTGGCTTCTACCAGCGTGTTAATTTATGCCTTATTTGTAAAACGGCAGTCTGAGCAGCAAAAAGAAAGTTTCAATTTTCAAGTAAGCTGTTTTATCCAAGGTAAGGACACTGCATGGGTAATCGTCGTCTCAACACACTGCAGTAGATGCAGTGGTCGTTCAGGGAGCCGTCCCTTGAAACACTGGGTCTGTGCTGATTGGATGTGATTTGACAGTCATGTCTGCACCACCCAGCAGTACAGAGCCATTGACAGAATCATCACTGACCTGGAGACTATGTCCGACATCATTGGCCCTTTAATCAAAACTGTGCAATGCCTTGTTTCCATCATAAGGCTTCACACGCTTCACAAGAGAGCCATCAAATAGACGTGTGCAAACGTGCACAGCACACATCTGTCATGACGGGTCTCCACCTCAACTAAACAACGCTCTACCATTATATTTGATCAGTATAAGTTACTGATGGAAGAGCGTGACAGTTGAAAATGTTGCCGAATCGAGCCCAAAGAACATGCCAGTGTCACTGGTATAGGACTCGACGTGGAAACCAGTTATTTTAAGGATACTCCCTTGGCAAGGTCAAGGTTAGCAATGTGGAGATGGCGAGTAAGAGAAGTTGAGGATCTGTGTCGGGAGGTCGGGAAACGTCATTTTCACTGTTTGGACAAAATCTGATCTTCTTTTCAGAGACAAAGAATTGTATGTCTTAAAGAACTGAGACTATTACAATATGGCTGTGGTACGTGATAGGTAAGCGAGATGCAGGATTATTGTGCCCGTCGTTGCATACCAGAAAATTGTAAGTGAACGAACATATTTCTTTTATCTCTAATAAAAATGTCGAAATACTAGATAAGTAGTGTACAAAATGACAGTTATTTTATAGTGTTAACCGTCACTTCACTCACCTGGAGCTGCATGAAGTAGTATGGCCGAAAGCGCCTTCTGCTGGAGCGAGGAGGACGACGACGACGAGGATCAACACGGCAATCTGAAGGTTCCGCGCCATTGTCAGTGGAACCAAGGGTTTGGTGATTGTTCTGTATTTCAGCTGTACTTTATAGGAAAGTTGGAGTAATGTCAACACTTACACTAAAAGTACTAACGTGTAAATGCTATTTAGATGTACGGACAGATAAGCATGACAATGGAGTTGTCGAAGCCATGCAGGATGTATGACACTAGTTCGTGGATTTTTAAACTTTTTAAACCATTAGGGAATTGTTTATTTTTTAAACCATTAGGGAGTTGTGAGTTTGCAGGGGCGTTGTCTGTGCACATCGCACAAGTGTAATATCTACCATGGAACATCACACGACACACAACTTAGTACGTGTCAGTGCGTGTCACACTGTAATGGACTAGCGTGAACTTGTCGTAACATCTGTATATCACCTGACACTGTAGCTGAATACGTGCATTTTCAAACCAAACCAAGCCACGCCCATTCACTGGAGATCATTTTGATCAGTCGAGTGTGATTGTTTTATCATTATACTTCTGCATTACGTTCAAAAGCTCTCAGTGTTGTGTGTAACATATTGACATAAAATGTCCGATGTATTAATGAAAGGTTGTCCAACTTAAACAGTCCTTTCCATAAACATAGATTGACGTATTTAAAAAAGCAACGTACATGTTTTGAAAAACGTTTTGATTGTGACTTACAAGTCACAAACATTATGCATTGTTGCCCCCTTCTATGCTGATTTTTAAAAGTAGTCAAAATATTCTTCAAAACGTCGGGCTCTCTGATATTTGGAAATCTCAAACTTTCCCTAGCATCCACTGGTAGAAACATTATGACAAAATTTCAATAATTGACCAGTTCAGACAATCATGGCATGCCGATGCTCGAAATTCATCTGAAGGAAAATACCATCATTTATATAACTTCACTCACTTTAGAACCTTATATTTTACATCTCCCATCTAATTTTGTATCTGGTTAACAAAATTAAGAACGTCATAACATAGATTACCCATTAAAGCGGGAAGATGGTTTCATATTAATCTGGAAAACAGAACATGTATAGTTTGTAAAAATAATGCTATTTGTGACGAGTTTCACGTTATTTTATCATGTAAACATCTAAATGTTGAACCTTAGAATATACTTCCCTCTTATTTTGTAATAATTCACACATGGACAAATTTGTCTCACTTATGAAATCAGATTATACTCCATTCTTGTTTAAACTATCACCGTTAGTCAAATCTAAACCAATATTTCTACTTCTATGCTATTGTATATATTATAAACGAGTGTATGTTCTCTATATCATTTTGTATGATTTATGAGAATAAAATGCTGTCCTATTCTGTTACCAAAACACCACAGATATGGTGACCAGTTGCGACGTTGTCATCGTCTCCTTGCCCAACGTAGACGATTCAGTCGATGTTGACGGGGAAATAACATGCCCTGTACTGTTCGGTAAGCCTGAACGCCGGCAGCAGCAGTTGTGTAAACAGTGTCCCAGCTGATGAAACAGTCTGGGGTGTGTTTAGGTTAATCAAAAAATTTTTTGGGGATATTATTTGGCAATCAAGTTGTATGACTGTATGTTGATTTAAAAAATGGTGATTCCATTCACAACGTGTTATGAATTTCGTGCAAACATGACAGTTTCCAGCAAGCCTTAGTCATGACGTGCAGGTGAACATGACGTCATCATGTGTAAATCTAAGGTAAGTGTCACATGCATTCAAAATAAAATAATAGCACTTTGCACCTTTCGTAACTGACAATAGTTTCCTGGCAACAGGATTATCATCCAGTAGAGCAAAATATGTTGGTATACCTACTTTTAACTTATCTCGGTATTTCTTTATAGCCTGAACTAACCCTTGATAATGAAGGGAGATGACATCAAGTTCAAAAGTGTATTGGAGTTGCTCCAGTAATAGGTAGTTTTCTAGTACTTCGCTGGCACCTCTATTAAACCACGTGGAATAAAAATCAATATCTTTACAAATGGTGATGTCATCAAATGATATAGCCTGTATTTTCTCTGAGAACTTATCAGAGGCCAATCGCAAAACATTATTGATGTATATAATATCTCAGCTGGAGAAGCATGGTGAAATATGCCTTGATTTGACAGTGAGGAAATGAAGTAAAAAATGCAATGTTTTCCTTTTAAGTTCATTTGTGATGTCCAAGAATCTCATCCAAGACAGCTTCGATGAATTTACATAGGAAAACAACTTCGACCATATCAAGACCACCATTTCCAAAGGTTTACACATAACAGTCCTTTTAATCTTATATGGTTTCCGAAACCAAAGAAAGTTATATAACATTTTATTCAACTTCTCCAGAAAGTGACCAAGAGGTCAGGCAGTGTTAGATACAGATCATTAAATTTTGAAATTAGTAAAGTCTTGAAAATAGCATTCTGCCAAGAGGACACTCTTCGTCTCTTGGTCATTTCATCTTCACATTTTTCAATCTTCTTGCCGGCAACCACGGTCAACAGAAAACCAGGGAGACAACGTGCCATTGATATACTATACAAAAATTAGTATCCTTATACAGAATATGAAACCATTTTTGGATGTTCTTGCCAAAGCCGAAGTTTGTCTATAATAGACCACGCAACGGGAATCAACAGACTTCTAAATGTTGTTAGATTCCGTATAATTCACTAAATGGTCTTATATTATCAGGAATATGTCTGCCACACATGAAATGAAACCAGTTTGATCAATATTGTTCAGTTTGGGGAGAACAGATTTCATACTTTTAGCAATAACAGAGGAAACAAAACAGGTTGTAGCTAAATTATATCATGGTTGTTTACTTTGTTGAGGCGACTCCGGATCCAGGGCAGCAACATGATTTGCTGACAGGGGAATGGTGTGTCATTTAACTGAAATAACAGGCCAACATTACCACCTTAGACACATGGAGCAACTACCCGTGAAGGTCCGGGTTAGAATATTGATCTTCAGTAACCCATGCTTGTCGTAAGAGGCGACTGACGGGATCGGTTGGTCAGGCTCGCTGACTTGGTTGCCACATGTCATCGGTTCCCAATAGCACAGATCAATGGTCATGCTGTTGATCACTGAATTGTCTGGTCCAGACTCGATTATTTACAGACCGCCGCCATACAGTTGGAATATTGCTGAGTGCGGCGTAAAAATAAATTCACTCACTCACGCATGACCCAACAAACAGGACCGCCTCCGTGGTGTTGTGGTTAGAGCGTCCGCCCGGAGAGCGGAAGGTCGCGGGTTCGATCCCCAACCGCGTCATACCAAAAGACGTTAAAATATGGTACTTGTTGGTCCCTGCCTGGCGCTCGGCATTAATGGGTACAACAAGGACTGGTCGGCTCGGAGTCAGTATACTGTGTCTGAGTGGGGTATTCATGCTTCACTGCGGCACGGTATCTCAGTGGGCTAGCACTATAAAACCAGCTTCAGTCTGGGCTAGTACAAGCAGCCGCACATACACATACACACGCATGCACGTCGTCATATGAGCGAAATATTCTCAAACACGACGTAAAACCCAATTTCACCTCACCTCACCTCACCCAACAAACAGACACTCGGATTAACTGTCTTTAAGCTTCTTTTCAAACATCCATGACTTAATGACACATCCGCCCAGTGTGAAGGCATCATGGAGCTGGGTGTCATCTGCATAGAACTTAGCCGGTGCCTATCATCTAATTTCTCAGTGTCTAAGGTAATTAATATTGGTCCAAGCACGGAACCTCGTGAAACCCCACACTTGAGCACCACTCATGTATAAATGATCTTCTGGGTTATTTGTTAATTGCAATTTTGTCAAACAAGTTTACCACGCCCAACTTCTTTATTGGCCCCGTCATCGTGTTATATCATGCTATGTAATATTGATACTATATGGTGGCAAAGCTCGTACAGATAAACTTGTAAGACATGTTGAGTGATGTTTGTTAGTTATGGAAACTTCGAGATAATATCGGGGTAAGAAAAGTAATGGTGGCTGGTGGAAAAAGAGAGACGTAGCGTCATTGTTCAGATTGGATTTATTGGGGGTATTTGGGAAATTCCATTGTTTCTTCAGAAAATGTATTATTGAGCAAGTAGCCAGCGCTGTGTACCTTGTTTGACAAAACTGGTGGCAGCAATGTCAGCTGAAACCTATCTATGGTCAACCAAGTTTTAATTGTGTGCCTGTGATTAGGTATGTGAATATGAAGAGTTGAGTTATTTTTCGTCGAATGTTTATATTTAAGACTTGTTTCGTCAAATTTCTTTCCATTCCTGCTATGAACCATCACGTATTAAGACAGTTACTAGTTAGCAATTTGCACAAATGTATAAACACGTCATTTGTATGACGCTATGCTATTGTTGCACTGTTCTAGGGTTGTTCAAAATTAGCTTTCATCTTTAGAAGATTCATATAGCGTAATATCTTATAGAAGCTTTAAAACATGTGTAACATTGTACATGTTTTTACAGTTTTAGCAAAAAGAAGTCAAGTCTCCTGCACTACGATTCCGTTGTTAACCCAACCCTCTGTGTTGTATGATAGGCTGGTATTCTATAAGAGGATGGAATGTGTATTTCTTGTATAAGGAGTCGAATATCATGCTCCTTTGTACAACACGTATGTATGTGTGTGTGTGTGTGTGTGTGTGTGTGTGTGTGTGTGTGTGTGTGTGTGTGTGTGTGTGTGTGTGTGTGTGTGTGTGTGAGAGAGAGAGAGAGTGAGTGTGTGTGTGTGAGAAAATATAATCATAGGGTCATATAATATCATGTATCCCGATGTAAGGATAGCTCGGGTAATTGTTGTTATCATGACTTTAATCATTGCTCTGTGACAGCATTTCATTGTTTTGTAACAAAATAGCATTTTTTCTCGACACCCATCATTCTTGTGACAGGATATCGTTGTTTATCATATACTTAAATGTGCAAGATGGAGATTTCTGTGTTTAAAAAAGTGGTGGTTTCACTCCTGTCCAGTAACTTGTTACACAACACAATGAATGGCAACGTAAACATTTACATTTCGCCAAATGCATGGGCAAACCAGCATGGGCATCGGATGACCAACCTCGCTCAGATGAACTGACCACCAAGCATCTGTACTGAGCCGGTCAGACTGTGACTGTCCCTCGCTGTGTCCACGCGAGTT